GAGGAACGATCCGTTGACGATGAGGGCGCCATCGTGGATCTTAAAGACCGCATCCTCCGTTTTGATATTGACCGATAGGCCGGGCGCCGACAGGAAGCTGTATAGCGCATTGTGGCGGCCACGAAAATCGGCCGAGCCTCCAAACGCAAAACTGATATGCGGGTCACGGAAGATCCGGGAGCTAAGGGCGCACGCATCTTCCGAGGCCGGGAAGGCGGCGATCAACAGTAGCATGCGGGGGCTAGATACCGAAGTCCAAGCCCCCGCAATCGATTTGTGTTTCGCCGGAGTTTTCATGGTAGCACCGGAACTGGATCCGGATCTCCCACTAAGCTAAAAGGGCTCTCAACTTTGCTCAGGGCGCAGGGCAGGTTGATTGATGGCGTCTGGTACCTTCCTTCCTTGACTCCAACCAACCAATGATCCTCCAGAGGAGAGAGCAGCGGCCATGTCAGAGGCCGCGCCTCCTCCTAAAGACTTCCCGCGGGGGGGAGCCTGGGGAAGCGCACCGACGGGAGACGTCGGGGCGGATTGCACAACTACCGGGCTTGACGCCCCGGCCGGACCGGGTCAGATCCTAAGGGGACACCCGAACACAATGACCTTCCAAGGTGGGATGCGCGACCATCAGGCCCGGTGTGTGAGTATTCTTGATACGAAACCACGACGACACACACCAGTCGACTCGCATCGGTTGCGGCCCCCATGAACGGCGGAGCTATTCTCGCGTCCACACCACACCTGGCAGCTCCAACGTGGACGCGCCCCTAGCTGGGTCACAAGCGCTCGCGGCTGGAGCGATTGGGAGTGCCCTAGCAATCCTTGGATCTTGGGTACGATTGTGAGCGCCGCCGCTCATAGTCCTACAAGATGTAGGATTGCGAGCAGCTGCGAGCGCTGCTGCTCGCAATCGGATCAGTAAAGCCGTGCTCTCCCTTCCGCATCTTACAGTTGTAGAGAAAAGTAATGCGCACGCGCCAACCGGCTCGACGATGTCGGTAGCGCTAGGATTGCGAGCACACACAACCACTCTGCTCGCCCCCGCAGCAGCAGCAGCAGCTGTGGTCGCCGCCCTGGTCCTCTTGCGACGCCGACAGGTTGCCGCGACGCTTCCGCCGCTGGACTCCGCTGGCGCACGCCGTGATGACGACGAGGCTGACGGCCAGCCGCCGCTGCCGTCTATTGTCGACGATGCGGCCAAGGAGCTGCCCGTGGGTGGGCTAGCGGGCGCGTCGTGCCGTGTCGACGCCTACGTGCGGCCGTCGCGCGGGTCCACCTTCTTCGTGTCGGTCCCCGCTGGGCAGCGCCTGGTGCTCGACGTCACCTCGCAGAGCGCGCTCCTCGCGCTGTACTGGAGAGGCGGCGCGCTGCCCTCGCGAGAGGTGCACGACGGCGCATGCGTCCACGCGGCGACGCTGCAGCTCAGCTGGGACGCCTCCAAGAGGCCGGCTCGGCCGACGCAGCTGCACATCCTGCTGGTGAGCGACGACGCGGAGCAAGTCATCCGCTTCTCGCTCCGCGCAAAGCTCGACATCCGGCAGCAGCGCAGCAAGCGCACGGCGCCGTCCTCGTCGACCATCTCGCTGAGCGAGGCGCAGCAGCGAGTGCGCGCGATGCAGCGAGTACTCCACAAGCTGCGCACCGACGAGCGCTCGAGGCTCGCGGCGGCGGCGGCGGCGCAGCAGCAGCAGCAGCAGCCGCGCCTGAGCGTGCGGATGCTCGAAGCGCGTGCCTCCTCGTGGAGAGCGGTGAGGCGGCTCCTAGGCACTTCCTAGACACACCCTCGCGGAGAGCGGTGCGACACACCCTGGAGACTGCCCACTTCAGCCTCGACGCTTCCTAGTGTTGGTCGTTGGCTCAAAGCCGTGCCGCGCCGGCAGCGATAGCGGCACGGCGGACGGAACTGTCGAGTCTCACGCGATTACCCGAGATTACCCGAGATTACCCGAGATTACGGAAGAGTACGGGACTCTCGACTCTCACGCAGCGTAACTCGGGAGCAGGTTGCCGACTGGGACCACATCACGCGCGGGTGGCAGGAGATGGCGGAGGAGGCCGAGCAGTGCAAGAGGTGGCGGGAGATATGGGGAGATGTGGGGAGATGTGGGGAGATGGCGGAGGAGGCCGAACAGTGCAAGAGGTGGCGGGAGAGCAGCGCGCATGCCTCGCCCGCGGTAGCGAAGAGTGAGAGAAGACGCGCCTGCCTCGCTAAAGGTACGCGCGGCTCTGGCAAGACCCGGACTTCCCCCACGACAACAAGTCGATCGACCACCCGGGGCACAGCTCGCCCGCCTCGCCGGTGCGCTCGCCCGCCCACTCGCCCAGCAGTTCTCCTCCTCTACCTCCCTCGTCTGCTGCCCCCACCCCACCCCACCCCGCCCCCACACCCCCCCGGCAGGTGCGCTGGCTGCACGTCAAGCAGATCCTGGGCAGGCGGCACCTGTGGCCCGACGGGCGCGAGTCCTTCCTCTTTTCGTAGGACTACACCGAGGTGAGACCCCCCCCCCCCCCGCCCCCCCCCGCCCCCCCCGCCCCCCCCGCCCCCCCCCGCCCCCCTCCGGGCAGCACCTCCGACACACTCCCCCTCCTCGTGCAAGGACTCCGCGCCTCGCAGCGCCACACCACCTCCACACCACCTCCTCACCTCCTCCTCACGAGGTCTCACGAGGTCTCACGAGGTCTCACGAGGGAACGCGTCCCCCGGCGCCGTCGGCGCCGACAGGTGAGCAACGCGGCGCTCCCGGCCGACGCGGCGCAGGGGTCGCTCGGCAACTGCTACTTCATCTCTGCAGTCGCGGCGACGATGGGCGAGCGCCGCGCACCGGGTGGCGGCGGGCCGGCGGCCCTTCCGCCCTGAGGGGTGTGTGTGTGGCCATAGGGGACGTGTCGGTGCGGAGCGACCTCATCGACGAGTCGCTCGAGGAGTGCGGCATCTACGGTGCCTCTTAAGTCCGTAGACGCCCTCTCTGGGAGTCTCTGAGATTGTCGTAGAGGAGGGCGGCATCTACGGTGCCTCGAGAGGCCCGAGGCTCGAGACTCGAGGCTCGAGAGGCGAGATTTCCGGGATCCGCCGAGCGCATGGTGCTCGTCTGGCGGGTAATCTCGGGGAATCTCGGGGAATCTCGGGGAATCTTGGGGAATCTCGGGGAATCACGACCTCGTGCTCGTCGCGGCCGAGGCGGAGAGTGCCACCGAGTGCCACCGTCTCGAGGCTGCGCCGCCCGCGCGCAGGCGTCTCCTTCTTCGTGCGAGGGCGCTGGCGCATGGTTTGGGTGGACTCGTACTTTCCCTGCGTGCAGAGGGCGGAGGCGACAGGCGGGGGCGGCGGCGAGGGGGCGGCGGCGGACGCGGGGTGGGAGCCGGTGTACGCGCGCTCTCTGGGCGGCTCGCGCGAGGCACCTGCCGCGCCCCGTCGGGGCGAGTGTTGCGTGGGGGGTCGGCTCGTCACGGCGGGTGGGCGGCGGGGTAGGCGTGGCTGATGGTTGTCGAGAAGGCCTTCGCTAAGCTGCACGGGTCCTACGGCGCGCTCGACGGCGCGTCGCCCGAGATCACTCGAGATCACTCGAGATCACTCGAGGTCGCCCGAGATCGCCCGAGCTCACCCAAGCTCACCCAAGCTCACCCAAGCTCACACAAGGTCACACAAGCTCACCCAAGCTCACCCAAGCTCACACAAGCTCACACAAGCTCACACAAGCTCACACAAGCTCACACAAGCTCACACAAGCTCACCCAAGCTCACACAAGCTCACACAAGCTCACACAAGCTCACACAAGCTCACACAACAAGGTCACCCAAGCTCACCCAAGCTCACACAAGGTCGCCAAGCCTCACCCGAGGCGCCTCTTCGCAGGCGGGGACACCGCCTGCGCGCTCACGATGCTCTCCGGCGGCGTGGCCGACACGGAGCACCTCTCCGACAGGCGCGGCCGCCCGAGCCTCAGCGCCAAGGCACTCGCCGACAGGCTGCGCGATCGGCTCGCCGCCGGCTTTGTGGGCGCCGGCACGCCGCCCGGCGGCGGGGGGCGGGGCGGCCTCACCCCTGGGCGAGCGCGCGAGCAGTCCTTCAGCAGTGGGTCCTCAGTTCAACACTGCGTTCTCTCGCCCATAGGCCGCCGATAGCCGCGCGTCGCTGCGGCTGTTCCTAGGGCACGTCCACGACGCGTCCACGAAACGTCCGTAGGCATGCGTACGCGGTGCTGCGGCTGCTCGACGCGCCAGGCACGCAGAGCCGCGCCGAGTATCGAGAGTCTCCCCTCCTTCGGCCCCGCTGAGCTGCCTTCCCGCCCGGTGCCGCAGGCGGCTCGCCGCTCGTGCTGCTGCGCGACCCGTGGGGCTCTTCGCGGAGGGGCCCGCCCCCGGCGTCCGCCCCCTCCGCCCCGCCCTCGCCCTCTGGGGCGGGCGGGGCGGTGGAGGGGGGAGGGGGCGAGGGCGCCGAGCGCGGCGGCGGCGGCGGCGGTGGCGGCGGCGGAGGCGGAGGCGGCGGAGGCGGCGGAGAGGCGGCGACGGCCTTGCGCGGCGGTGAGTTTTGGATGTCGCTCGACCAGTTTCGCGAGCAGTTTGCGCTGCTGTACCACTGCCGCGTGCTGCGCACGACCCTGCAGGGCGGCGAGTGGCACTACTCGCTCCTGCGCAGCCGGTGGACGCGCGCGACGGCGGGCGGGTGCCCAAACTACCCCGACTCTTTCCTCTGCAACCCTCAATGCCGGCTGCGCGTGTTGCGGCCGAACACGCAGCTGGTGATGGTGCTCACGCAGGCGCGGCGAGATAGCCGAGACGCGTCGAGGGGGGTCGAGATGAGCCGAGATGCGCAGTTGGTGGTGGTGCTCACGCAGAGACGCGGCGGAGCGCGGTGTTGTCGTTTGGGGTGGGGTGGGGGGGGGGGGCGGCGCGGGGGCGCGAAAAGCAACGTGCACGAGTTCGGCGTGTCCTCCCGATAGGCGTTGCCTCGGTCGGCGTGGCTCGTGGCTGGCCCCACGTCGCGCCACCACGCCATCGGGCTCGTGCTCCTCCGCGGCAGGCCCGACGGCGCACGCGCGACGACGCCGCCCGTGCGCGGCGAGGTCGTTGGCGCATCCAAGTTTGTGCCCGCGTCGCACATCTCCCTCGAGGTTGCGCTGCCGCTGCGCGCGGAGCCATACACGCTGATCGCCTCCACGTTCGCGCCCGGGCAGCTCGCCTCTTTCATGCTGTACGTGTACTCGAACCAGCAGGTCGAGATTTTGCCCTGCAAGGAGGACGACTGGCAGGTCGAGCACCAGGCGCAGAGGGAGCAGCGCGCCGGCGCCGGCGGCGACCTCGTGGTCTCGCGCAGCCGGCGCAGGCCGGGCCATTTGCCGCGAGTCGTCGCGCCGCCTCCGCCGCTGCTGGAGCGCTTCGCTGGCTCCTTCCTTCAGGCAGCCCGGCGGCGGTTGGGCTCACACACAGGCGCCATCACGGAACCGGCGGCATCACCGCCGCGACACGGCCCCGCCCGTAGGTGCGCAGCTTACTCCGCAGCCAGGAGCGGTTGGGAGGGCCGATGTCGAGGACGTTCAACAGCGGCCAGCTTGGGTTCGACTCGAGCGGCAGCAGCGCAAGCCCAGCGCGCCCGTCCGTCGAGCCGGCCGCGGCGTCGGAGCCGGGCCACCGCCGGCGGCCCTTCCGCGGACCGCCGAACCCGAGGGCCCAAGGAGAAGTGTCGCTGCCGACGTGACAGGCTTCTCAGCAGCTCAATACTTTTGGATCAGCGCGATGCACGGGACGGCTATTCACGCTGTCCTCTCTCTCTCTCTCTCTCTCTCTCTCTCTCTGAGCACAAACCCCACACGCACACCCCGTTGGACTTTGCCTCATCGCTCATGACTTGCCTACGCTCCTCCACACTGACATGAGATTGCGTGCGCATGTACGTCGTGTGTGCCGCGCATACACCTACGTGTCGTACTGTTCTTTTATAGCGCGTCGTGGAGACGGTGCAACTCGTGTAACGTGTATCCAGACCCGACATTGGTCATTGCCGCCGCTCCCTCACGAAGCGTGGAGGCACAAGACTGAGATGTTCCTCTCCACCCTGCCTCACCTGCCGTGGTCGAGCTTGTTCGGGTCGCAGCTCTGCCCGTTGTTCCGTGTGCAGGTCGACTCGATGGGCACACCGTCGGGTCCGAGCTGCTGGATGCGCATGTTGCCCCAGCCGCCGCCCGTCTGCCATCGGAGGGACAGGTCCGGCTGGACGCCGATCGATCCCGACGTCCACGGCACGTGCGTCGGCGGGCACACCCAGCCCGGCGAGAGGCCGCCCGGAGTATCGATACTTGTGCAGGCCTTGCGGGTGCGCAGCATCTTTGTGCGGTAGCGCATCGAGTACTCGCCGCGCTGCCCGAAGACGGGAGCGGCAGGGTCGGGGAGCACCCGGAGCCAGCACTCGCCGAAGGTGTGATTCCAGCCGGTGTCGAGCCCAAAACACACGGGATAGCCGCAGAATGTCCACGAGTTGCATCCCTTGTGGTGCGCCTTGCACTTGTCGCAGCAGTCTTGGGCGCTTGCCGCGCGATGGCTCACCCCAAAGGTCAGGCCCTTGCCGCCGCGGTCCGAATGCGGCTCTTCTCCGCACGAGCCGTGCGTCGTGACTCCCGGGCAGTCGGCCATGCAAGTGTTGATGTCTTCCGGGCCGTTGCACATGCCGTCGCCGCAGCAACGCTTCGTCTGGCCAGGAGCGCAGGGCGTCACGCCGCGCGCCGCCGTGGCTCGCACGACGGTCGCCAGGAGGACGAGGCCGTAGCGGGTGTAGCGCGACTCCAGCGACATGCTCAGGAATGGGCCCGGCCGCCAACAAAGTCGAAAGTTGGTGCGCCCAGTTTTTTCTTTTTTCTCCTTTAGCGCATATACCTCCTCGTGGGGTCCAGTCCGAACATGAGTTTTTGAAATCCATTAGTACCACTGCCAGTTCCGTGTCCAAAATGTGTTCATTTCACGACAAGACAGCCCGCCTCCTGCTCTGATCCGTGAAACGAAGCGCACTCGTCGGTCGTCCCTCGTCCCCTCCTCGTTCCTCCTCCTTCGCGCGGAACTATGCACGCGCGGCGGCGGCTGGCCCTGCGGGCTGTATACCAGGGCAGTACGGGCCACGGCTCGCGCTTTCGCCAGCTGGGCCGCCGAGGGCTTAGCGTGCTGACGCCGCCCCTCCTGGACTTGCGACGGCAGCACCGCTCGGCCCTCACCTCGCTAGAGAAGCTGCTCGTCCGCCTGCATGCAGCCGCAGAGCACACGGAGGTTCTTCGCGAGTCGGTCACGACGCTCGACTCTCTCTTCGTCTGCTGCGTGGTTGGCGAGTTCAACGCCGGCAAAAGCGCGCTCATCAACGCGCTCCTGGGGAGGGAAGCGTGTGTCGAGGGCGTGCTCCCGACCACGGCAAGCGTGTGCCTAATCAAGCACCCGGCGGCGCCATTCGTACCGAGCAGCGCGGCCGGGAAGGAAGACGGGCTTGTCGTCATGGACGTTGACGTCGAATGGCTGCGCTCAACTTACCTCGTCGACACGCCGGGCACAAACTCCATCGACGAGGCTCACACCGCGCTGACTCAGGACTTTCTGCCGCGCTCGGACTTGGTCCTGTTCGTGACCTCGGCTCAACAACCCTTCTCCGACTCAGAACAAGCGTTCCTCCGGTCCGTCACCGGCTGGAGGAAGCACGTGCTCTGCGTGCTCAACAAGGCAGACACGCTGCCGCCGGCAGACCTGCAACGCGTTCTGGAATACGTCTCCGAGAATGCCTCCCGTACGGTCGGCGCGCCCGTCAAGGTTCTCGCCTCGAGCGCGCGCGTCGCCCTGAAACTGAAGGAGCGCCTGCGACAGGAAAGCGCCGCCGAGCTCGGCTCGCCCTTGAGGGCCGCCGCGGAGGGGGAAGCGGAGGGCGCAGCGGCGGCGCAGTGGGAGGCGCTCGAGGCGGAGGTCCGGCGCGTTCTGCAGGACGGCGCGAGGCTGAAGATGGTGTCTCAGCTTGCCACCGCTTCGCGGCTGCTCGAGGTGTACGCCTCTGCGGAGGCGTCTCAGCTCGCCCTCGTCGCCGCCGATCGCGATGCTGTCGACGATGTGGGGCAGAGGGTGCACGCGTTTCAAGCTACGATGCGTGCCGACTTTGAGCCGCAGGTGGCGCGTGCGATGCTCGTCTTGGCGCGGCTGGGCCAGCGCGGCCACCGATTCCTCCAGGAAGAGCTCACCCTCTCGCAGTTGCCGCGCCTCCTTTCCCGCGATGCCCTTGTCAAGCGCTTCGAATCAACCGTCGTCGCGGACTCGAGCGCACAGCTCGAGGCGGTCGCGCTCTCTCTCGCAGACTGGATGGAAGGGCGCTCCTCGGCGCTCGAGCGCGATACGCTCTCCATGCTGCGCAGCAGAGTGCAGTTGGAACCCAGCAGCGCGGGCGACGCCGAGGCGGCGGCGGCGGCAGCGTATGGCTCGCGCCGCGCAGAGCTGCTGCTTGCGATGCAGAGCAGCGCTCGCGAGTCGGTTGGATCGGATGCTGTGGCGAATGCAGGGGAGCGTGCTGTCGCGGCCGTGCAAACGTGCCTTGCCCAGGCGCTGCTTTTAGAAGCGGGAGCCGCGGGACTCACGGGGGTCGTGTCGGTCAAGGCGGCCTCCATGCTCGACCTCACCGGCCTGATGCCCGCTTTTGTGATCGCTCTCACTGGCTTGGCCGTCCTGCCTCTTCAGCGCTATCGGCTGCAACTCGATCTTCAGCAGCGGGTTGACGAGCTGAGCAGTTCCTTGAACGAGGCGCTGCAAACTCACCTGGAAGCTGAGCTGCAGCACGCGGTGACACGCTCACTGGCGGCCGTCAAGCCGTTTCGAGAGCACGTCGAGCGAGAGCACGCCGCCCACGAAGAGAGGCGGGGCATGCTCGACGCGGTGAAGGCTGAACTGAGCGCCATGCACTTGGCATTGGAGAGGGCGGAGCGCCCGGCGGTGTCTATTGTCGAGCCAAAGACTTGAGATACTGAAGGGCGAACAGGTGAGACGTCCCTGTCTCACGGGTGTTTCGTCCCTGTCTCAACGCCCCCCGGGGCAGTGTCACAAATGCGTCTCAGTAATGTCTCACAAACTCGCACCGATCTCTCGAGGCGCGTGAGCCGGACTTGTGAGCCGGACCACCCCCTCTTGAACCCTGCGTTGTTGAGCCAGGACTCAACATACTCGGGCTGTCGCCGTCCCAAACTGTCACTCCCCTCTCTCCCGGCCGGGGTGGGGCGCGCGCGGGGGCGGCGGGTGTGCGGCGAGTGTGCGGGATGTCTGTGGGCCCGAGAGCGATATGCCATGTCCGCCTTGCGTTGTTTCATAACATCGAAGGCTAAGCTCACAAAATATGCGAGAGGGCAGACGCAGAGGGGGGGGCGGGGGGGGAGAGCGGAGAGAGAGAGCGCGCGCGAAAGTAGAGCGGAGCTGTGAGTGTCCGCCCGCAGGCGCATTGGTTGTATACCGAGGCGGTGCCCGGTGCCGAGCGCAGGCGGTGCCACAGGTCTGCCATTGGTATAGGAGCAGCAGGAGGTTAGGTTATAGGTACGCTCTACGGCTTTATAGCCTCTCTACAGCGACACACAGACACAGATCACAATAAATAAATAAATAAAAACGGACACCTCTCTACTGTGAGATGGGTAAAAAGGAACAGGTCCCCGCCCTTGCGATCTTTGTGCAGGGTTCTTTGTGGGTGTGGTCGGCGACTAGCCGGGGTCGTCCTCCCGGTGGGGGACTAGCACTAGCCGTCTTCCACATGTGGTCCCTCGGGTCCCTGCTACTCCTAATCTCTTCGTACATCCTCCTGCTGATCTCCGCAAAGTCCTGCTCCGTCAGCCTTTTGCTCTTTTACTTTTTCATACAGATACACATATACTGATTACTGTACAGGAGGGGGGGGGGGTGTCATAGCAATCCGCCCGTTGCCCGTGGTATGCACTTCCGAGAGCGAACCCGCCTCGTCGTTTCGCCCGTGTCGCCATGTCAGAGTGCTCAAGGTGGACATGACGACGGCTTCCGCACACGAGCTGAGATGTCAAAAGCCGTTCATGTTCATGTTGGCAGCCATGTTGGCGGCGATGTTTTGCAACATCACCGCGTTTCTCGGATCACGCGCCGGCAATGCGGCGAGTTGGCTGCCTCCTGCAGCGTGCCTGCTGCCTCTGGCGGCAACCTGACTGGTCTCTCCGGCTGGCCGGCTGGTGCCCAGTCCCGCAACCTGGCTGGCCGAGGCGGCGACAGCAGCGACGCACTGCGAGCCCATCGCCGAGGAGGGAGCAGCGTGGCTTGCGGCTGGTGGACCGCGCGGCAATGGCAGCGGTGCGCTTTTCGGCAGCTTCAACGGCGGCGCGGTTCGCGGCAGCGGCAATGGCGCGGTTCGCGGCAACGGCAATGGCGGTGCGGTCATCGCAGAGGTCAGGCGCGGTCCGCTCTTCGGCGCCTCGACTGCGGTGCGGACGGAAGAGGTAGCCAGCGCCGCTGCCTGACTCGGTGGACACGCCGCAGCCAGCACCGGAACCCTGCCCGGGCCAGCAGAGCCGCCAAGTTTCGCGCCGGTGGCTCCGCTGCCGCCGGTTACGGGGAAAGCATCGAGAGCCACGAGGGGAGGGTCTGTCGCCGCCACCGGGACGGCATCGAGAGTCACGAGGGGAGGGTCTGTCGCCGCCACCGGGACGGCATCGAGAGTCACGAGGGGAGGGTCTGTCGCCGCCACCGGGACGGCATCGAGAGTCACGAGGGGAGGGTCTGTCGCCGCCACCGGGACGGCATCGAGAGTCACCAGGGGAGGGTCTGTCGAAGCGGAGGGCACCGTGCCGACAATGGTGGGAATGAGGGAGCAAACACGCCCGGCGGAAGACGAGGAGGCGGAAATCGCTCGGCCGCGGGGAGGCTTGCCCACCGACACCACTGTCGCGGCGACCGGCTTGCAGGCTGGTCTGGGTGGTGCACGGAGCGGCTCAAACTCGATCACAAGCAGCTCGTCCGCGCGCACCTCGACCGGGCGCGGCCTCCCCTCCTCAAAGGCGGGCACCACTGCCTGGTACGCCTCGCCGACGCGGATCGTCGCATCGAAGCCCGCGGCGCGCTGCGGCGCCGAGGAGGGCGTCCAAGGCGCACGCACGCAAGCCTCGCGGACAAATGCGTCGGCGCTCAGGCTCTCTTGCCACTGGCAGAGGTCTGCTTTGGCCACGGCCTCGATCGCGGCCTGCCGCTTGGGCCGGCCTCTGTCGACCCCATCGTTCACGCCCGCAGCGGCAGCAACGGCGCGCGCGATGTATGCTTCGGTGGCACGCTTGAGACCACCTGCCGCGCCCGCCGGTGGTGCCCATTCATCGTCATCGCTGCCGGCTCGAGGGCGCTTCTTGAGCTTGACGGCCTTTGGCGGCGCGGCTCGCGCCGACGCGGCAGCGACCGTGGACGCGGCAGCGACCGGCGCGCTGGAGGTGCCGGCGGCGAGCATCGGTGCGAGCGCGTGAGCGGAGCTTCGAGCGTTAGTCGACTGGTTAGTGGGGCCGTCTACCAGCAGTCTAACCAGCGCCGGCCCGCGCTCTTGGCTTTTCCTGGCGGGAAGAGAAAATGCTGCGCGTGATGCCACGACTGGGGCCACGAGTGCAAGGACCGCGACCGGCCTGCTTTTCCGCGAATAGAGTATCGCCAACTCCCAAAGCCGAGGCGCGCGCGCTGGCATGACAACCCCACAGTCTCACAGGCGGAGACAGGGCAGCGCGTCCGCTCCCCGGAACAAACGTAGAAACTCAGAACCAGACGAACCGCTGTTGCCCCCCCCATCCGCGCACCGGCCGGCTCCGCGCTCTCAAGACGCCAGCACAGGGCGCAGCCGGCGCGCACGTAGACTCGGGGGAGGGGGGGGGGGGGGCTCAGGGCCTCAGCGCTCCTCGCACCAAGCGTTTTCACGCTTGACCTCCTCCTCCTCTTCGGGTGTGAAGTCGTTCTTGATGTTGAAGCGGATGCGGATCTCCTCGGGCGTCTTGCCCTTGATTTCATCGGCCACCTGGTTGGCGCGGCCAGCGCGGTCTGGCTCCCGCGGCGGGCGGCTCACGGCCGCACGCACAGGCAGCGCGCGCGGGAGCGGGGAGGGGGCGCGCGGCAAGGAAGGGGGCGCGCGGCAAGGGAGGGGATTGGACGGTGGTACCGTCTTGCAGGTGAGGTCGAGCAGCGACTTGATGTCGAGATAGTTGGCTGCAAGGATCAGGTTGAAGAGCGTCTCGTCGTCGACCTGCGCGGGCGGCGCCGGAGCCGTCAAAAGGTGGGCGCAGGAGGTAGCCGGGAGGGGGGGGAGGGGGGAGGGGCGGGAGGGGGCGGGGGGACGGGGGTCGGGGGAGGGGTCCGGCGCCTTGACAAAGTCCTTGTCCCAGACGTTCTTCTCGTCCTCGGGCAGCGACTCCTGCTCCGCGCGGTGGTGGTACTTGCAGTACTCAATCACCTTGATGAGAATCTTCGAGTCGACCATCGGCAGCGGCACCGGCGTGTCGAGGCCCGTGTCCTCGACCATGTTCTTGACGGTCACCGAGCGGCAGGCAACCTCCTTCTCAACCTCAAAGATCTCCTCCTGCTTGGACTTGAGCTTGACAGCAGTCGCCTCTGTTTGGCGGGGAGAGCGTGGTCGGAGGGTGCGGAAGGGGGGGGGGGCAAGAGGCGCGCGGCGGAGCGCGAGAGCGCGCTCCGGCGAGAGCGCGCTCCGGGGCGGGGCAAGTGGGCGCGGCCCCGCCCTCTCGGGCGGGTGGCGCAGGCGATGTGGTGGCGCGGGGGCGGTGTGCGCGCCAGAGTCGTCAGCCATCGTTGGTGTTTGCGGGTGGAGTTTGTGCGCGGGAGAGGAGCCTGCGGCGCGGCGGACGGGGGGCGGTCGGTCGGTCGCGCGTCGGGGCGCGGCATGGGCGCCCGGGCGCAGGCGATGGGGGGCGCGGCATGACTGACAGCTCTGAGCGCGCCTTCGTGAAGGTGTGAAATCGTGAGGGTGTGAAAGCCCTTTCGCGTACCGCCATCCACCGTCTCCAGCGTCCGGAATTCGTTGCGGCTCCGCTGCCTCCGTGCGCGTGTACGTATCACCTCTACTAGCACCCACAGAGTCAGCCCGGCGCATGCAAGTCTCGGTCGGTGCACTCCAAGTACCAAGACGGTGGAAGATCGAGCTTCGAGATCGAGGGTCACCTCTCGGCGGCTTTCATCTCTGGGAGATAGACGGGCTCATCTATCTGTCGAGGCCTCACAAAGGCCACATGCCGCTCGCCCGTGCGACGGCCCGCTCTGCCCAGTAGCTACGCGTGCAGGCCCAGGGGCGAGATGGGCGTCCGCCGGGAAGGAAGGGGAGAAATACAAAAAGCCCCCCCACTTAAATCGGCCAGCCGCCACTCCGCTTGTGGCTCGGCCGATTTTGCCCGAGTGGTCAATTCCCCCCACACACTTACTTAGACGAGACACGATCTCTATCTCAACATATCTCCTTCGACGCCGCATTTCCAAGTTTGGTGCCCGAGTGGTCAACTATGACCAAACTTGGTCGGTTATAACCGATGGCGTCCACTCGATCGAACCTGGGGGGAAACACGTGTGAACACAGTGTGTGTGAATTCAGGACGAGCAGATAAACGGGAAGTGGGCGCTGCCATTGAATAACCGACCAAAGTTTTTTTCACGGAGGCTCCGGGAGGCCCACAGCACGACAGCAGCCATGCAGCGGCAGCTCGTCGCGGCTGGCGTGGCCGTAACCGGCGTGGCTGCAGCGCTGGCCCTCCGCCGGCTCGTGGTTGCGCGCCGCGCCGCCGCGCTGCTCAACAAGCTGCAGCTGAAGACTCCGGTGCCGCCAGACGTGGAGATCTCGCAGGCCGTCAAGCTCACGCCAATCAAGGAGCTGTTCGACCGCAAGTTTGGCCTGCGCGAGGGCGAGCTCTTTGCGCACGGGACGTACAAGGGCAAGCTCTCGCTCTCTGTCTATGAGCGGCTCAAGCACCAGCCGGTGCGCCGCCGCCGCCGCCACACACTGCCGCCACGCCGCACCCTGCCGCCGCGCCGCACGCCGCCGCCGCGCTGCCGCGTCGCCGCGCTGCGCCGCCCGGGCGTGGTCACGTCGCCTCCGCCCCGTGCGCAGGACGGCAACTACGTCGTCGTCTGCGGCATCAACCCGACGCCGCTGGGAGAGGGCAAGTCCACCACCACCATCGGGCTTTCGCAGGCGCTCGGCGCGCACCTCGGTCAGCAGGTGATGACTTGCATTCGGCAGCCGAGCATGGGGCCCACCTTCGGCATCAAGGGCGGCGCGGCCGGCGGCGGGTGCGTGCTCGCGCACCGAGGATCGGGGGGGGGGGGGGAGAGCGGGCGGCGGGCGACGCTCTTCCTCCGCCGCCGCCGCGTGTCCTGAGCCTCCACCCTCGCCACCTTCGCCACCACCGTCCCCTCCCCCTCCCTCTCCGCCCCTCCATCCCTCCCCCCCCGTCGCCACCTCCCCCCTCTCCACCCCGCCCACCTTCCGCCCCCCCTCCTTCTCCACCACCACCGTCAGGTATGCGCAGTGCGCGCCGATGGAGGAATTCAACCTGCACATGACCGGCGGGAGATGAGCCGAGATGAGCCGAGATGAGCCGAGATGCGCCGAGATTAGCCGACGACGGCGGGCCTCTCCACCCCCCCCCCCAAAACCACCACCACCAGCCCCTCTCCACCAGCCCCCCTCCTCGAGCGCCGCCGCAACAGCCCGTGTCCAAAGACGCGCGCGCGGGCGTAGGCGACATCCACGCGATCACCTCCCGGCTAATCTCGGCTAATCTCGGCTGATCTCGGCTAATCTCGGCTAATCTCGGCTAATCTCGGGTCGTAGGCGACATCCACGCGATCACCGCCGCCAACAACCTCTTCGCCGCCGCGATCGACACGCGCTACTTGCACGAGCAGACGGCCTCCACCAACTTCCTCTGGTGCGGCGGCGGGCTCACTTGGGGAGGGGGGGTGCGCCGTCGAACGCTGTCCTGAAGAGAGGTCCGCTGTCAACGACATCCGCCTCCCAGCCGGCTGCAGCACCTTTCCCTTACCCACCGCCACCGCTCCCCCCCCACACACCACACCACAAACACACACACACACACACACACACACACACACACACACACACACACACACACACACACACACACACACACACACACACACACACACACACACACACACACGCCCCACTCCAGGCCGTCTCGCACTGACGCCCGCTGCCTCGCCGCGCCCAGGCTGCCAACACACTAGGAACAAGCTTTGCCCGGCCGATGGGAGCGGCAGGCGAGATCACCCGAGATCACCCGAGATCACCCGAGATCACCCGAGATCACCCGAGATCAC